TAAACACGGCTCACTGGCCGCTTCCTGGACGCCACATGTGCAAAGACAGAGTGAGTTACTGTTAGGCTTTAGCTATCAGTGTGATTGGGATTAAATGACACCCTTCAATCGAGCCAAAAAACCCAGAAAGAAGCTAAACAAACCAACCAAATCTAAGCTTAAAATCACTTTATTCTGCATGGCTTGTTTTGAAAAAATGCCAGAAATAAACCATTTGCTGTCCTCAGATTCTGTAAAAAACAAATAATTCTGCACCGGTCGACCCGAACATGAAGCAAACAGTGACTCAGCTTTGACCAACAGTCACGGGATGAAAATTCAGGGACTTTTGGATGAAAACATACGGGAACAAATTAAAAAATGTAGAGTAAAACATCTCCAGCATGTGGAGTCACTTGGAAAATGCCTTTTTTTTTTGTAAATGCCAATCAAATAAGTTCAACTTTCTCTTTTCTTTTTGTTTTTTTTTTATCGAGCATTGTAACTCCACACAAAAAACCACTTTGATTCCTCTCTCTCGTTCTTCGTGGTGTTTCCACAGAGCTGCAGGACTTTATGTTGTACTGAAAAATGAACCCACAGCGAGTAAAAATGAGACCAGAGAGGAAAACCTGCACAGAAACTCTGGTTTTATGGTTTAAACGTTCACATGCCAGAGCTGCTTATATTCTAGGTAATTCTGAAACAACCTAGATATGACTTTACTTTAATTTTCTCCATAAATACTAATTTTATTTGTTTCTAAATGCAGTGGTTTCACTAGAAGTCATTTGTCCCACTTTCAGCTTTGCTGGTTGACAACATCCGGACGTGGTGCTGCAGCCCACGACTGTGTCGTCCTGCACAGAAGACTTTTCTGACTTCTCTCTGCTTCTAGTCGTGGTTCTATATTTTATATTTAGTATAACTGAAGCTATGGACGGATGCAAACACGAAAACAGCTCTGACGGGTCGAGCAGCGATCTGAGGAGTTCCTGCGCAATTGAGCTGCACAACCGCAGCCTTTTGAAATGCGAACACATGTCGCTGGAGCACCTGTCAGATTTAATCGCTGGGTGTGTTTTAGCCGGTTAACCTGCAAGAACCTCTGACTCGGTTCATGCAGGGACACTTTGGTCGCTGTTCTGTAAAACCAGAGGCTCGCTGGTCGATACGGGAGAAACCAGACCTGTGATGAATGAAACTAATCTTTCAGGAAGACGTATTTGCAGCCCAGTTTAATTTGTTGAAAGTTCAGAAACGCCCAGTTTAATTTGTTTTATTCAGCTTTTCTTTAAGTTGTGCATTATTAGTTATTTAAAAGACGTCCTGGTGCACCGTTCAGGCCTCATCAGAGCTACTGCAATGAGGAAATCTAGGATTCTGATAAGCCCGAGTTGTCTCTTCACGATCCAGAAGAACCTGAAATCCCTTTGCGGATGTTTTATTGTCAATACAAATGCTTTTAAACAGTCACGAGTCCTTCAGTCATGTGGAGTCTCTCAAGTCATTACGGCTGGAGCGTAGTGACAGCTGCTACCGGGCCGCCTTGTGGGGAATGTGGGTTTATTAATTACGCTTAATTAGTTTAGATGCGTCTCCTCTGACTCCTACGACGTGATCGAGGTCTAAAACTGAACTGCTGGATTCAAAACTGTGCAGCAGTTAATACAAATACTAGAAGCTAAAGGTTTGTGCAGCTGAGATCTTCCACCGTGAGAAAAAAAACGATAATATTCTGGCAGCTGTGATGCAAAATACTGGAAATTAACAATCCATGAGTAAAATAAAGTCTCTTGTTTTAACTTTACATGCAATCATGTGTATTTTTTTTTAGTTTTTCTGTTTATTGAAGGATATTAAAATAATGTAATCGCCTACTTTATATGATAATGATGAAAAAAAAGGTGTTTTGACCGATTATGAATGCTGATAAAGTGATAATACAGAATATCTCTAATTTAACAAAGAAATCTAAGTGTAAAAAAGCAGAACCAGTACTTTTAGCTGAATCTAGTTCTAATGATGTATTAACAACAATAAATATTTGCAAAATTATGATCAATGTGAATTTTTTAACAGTTTTTTTAGGTAAAAGAAATTCAAAATTTCTTTAAGTTGCAGTTTTTAAATGTTATTTTATGTTAAACGTATAAATTGATGGTGTGGCTTTGTTCATGTTTAAAAGATATTTTAAAAATCAGGAAATATTTGATCAAATTACTGATTTTTTAGCCGACCAGATGTTACAGTCTTTTCTCTTGGATTATATAACTTCACACATCAGACCTGTCCTGTTTTATCGGCTGTAACATCCAGAGAAGCGACTTGTTCGACACCTGATGCTATCTCGGGCGGCGACCAATCACACGGAGACACCTGGTGCAGATCTGACCGGCAGATTCCAGCAGTTCCAGTCCTGAAGTGTGACTGCATTTCACAGCCACAACACAGATGAATGAATGATGCACCTGTGGGCGTTTCTGCCTCCTCGGCTTCCCCATATTTGCATGATAGCTGTAGCGGAACCAGCTGCTGCTCCCTTTACCTGAATCCTTTGCCTCTTTCCCGGACTGCTTCGTCATCTAGTCGGACCTGCCTCCCGCTGACTCTACCTGCTCAGCTGCTTCTCAGGTTCCTCATTGACCTGCATGAAGCTTTTTTTGCAGCATTTTCCTGCTCAGCTCGCTTGTTTTTCCTCTTAACAGCCCGACGAACAAGTTGATACAATCAGAATAAAGTGAGATAAAGCAGCTTAACTTTCACATTCCTCCTTCACTCCCAGTAGTTTTTATTTAATCTGCCCTGCAGGGTATGAAAATGACACCAGAAATCTCTTTAACAGGAACTCCCGACACGGTGGAGGTGCTAATGAAGAACATACGAGCGTTACACATCATTCAGACTTTGCTCCGTTCTCTTTGAAAACACGCCCAACTTACTTCCCTCTTTGTTTCTGTTACATGCTTCTTCATGCACCGCTCAGTTTTGATATTTTTCTGTTACCGTTACTCGTCTTTGGAGAAAAAAAACACACATTAGAGTGTTTGTTTTACTAAACTTTGTCTATTTGGGTTGTATATTTGTAATAAACTATGAGTCTTTAATGGCTGTTTTCTCAAACTTCTGCAGGTTTCTATGAAGGTGTTTGATCATATTCTAGCTACAGGCTGATCTATAGAACATTTTACTGATGACGACAGTATTTTCTGTTTTATGGGGCGATTAAAGTCCCTCGTTTTAAACCTTTGACTCTAACGTGTCGACGGAGTGGAGCAAGGATTGACTTTATTCAGACTTCAGGTTGGACATTCATGGAAACGACCGTGTTTTTGTGTCTATAACACCTCATGTGCATAAATAAACAGAGAAAACCTGAAATATAGAAAATCATACTGGGAGCGTTCATCTGGGGAGGTTTCATGGTTTTAGTTCATATCTGTTCACCTGCAGTGTTAGAAGGTGCTGAATGTTGTTGATTATGTTCTAAATTATTGTTATGATTCATATAGTTTATATCGCGTCATCTCAGAGCTCTCGCTTTAGCTTCACGAGCTCTTCACTCCTCGTTATTTGTTTTATTTACCTTTAGTTGAATTCTTCTTTTACTGCATCTTGCTCGTCTGTTACGTTCTCACGGTTTTGTTTTGCACCTTGACTTTTATCAGACACATAAAACTCAATAAAAGGGATTTCTGTCATATGATAGCTTCCAGTTCTCCTCTGGATTCCACAGGAAGCCGCTGAACAGAAGCTAATACGTTAGAAAGCTGATCTCTTTGTGCACTCCGGCTGCAGTTTGTGTGCAGCTTGTAAACGTGTCTGAAGCGACCGATGATGAACACGTCGCCTTAACGGGCTGCAGTTCAGTCACTGCTTCGTACTCGTTAGGCAACAGAGAAACACAAACCTCTAGATGAGAACATCCTCGTTGGAGATGACTTTGCATTTCACTCGTACCATAAAAGTATCGTCACAAAAACAAAACCACTTCTTGAACCTACTAAGTGTCCTCACATGTTGTGATTGGCACCTTGAAAACACAATAACCCTGCACCCACCAGGACCCGTGCACCCCTTTCATATGCTCATTACTATTATTATTGTACTTTTTAAGACTCTTCCTTGTTGTAAATACCTGCACAGTTTTGCACCGTATCTCTTCTACCTGCACGTTCCTTTGAACATTAGTTTCCTTATTTTGCCTAAATTTGAATAATCTGTCTGAGGTTTTCTCGGCATGCAAACCTGAAGGATTTACACCATGTGAGATCTTTGTATTGTACTCTGGATTTTACTGAAGAGATGCTAATATCATCATCAGAATCAACTTTTATCCAAGTGTGTACACGCACACAAGGAATATTACTCTGGTGAATCTTAGCTCTTTGTGTAAAGAGAATAGAATAGAATAGACGGCAAGAAAAGCAAGTGAACACAACTATATATTAAAGAGGCGAGGTATGTACCCTATACATGCACAATATAAATAAGAAAAACAGAAGAACACAACAACTAATTACTAAAATAAGAGCATAAACATAAGGTAAACGTTGAGGAGTGAAGAAACAAACCAGAACAATAACAATAGGAGCAATATGAACACCCATAAATGTTACTGAGGTCGGTTGAGTGCATATAAAATGGTGCAAACATGCAAAGAAGTGCGCTATATGTTGTAAAGGTGATTTATTTGTGTGCTCCGACTGCAGTGTTTGCATTGAGCCCACAGCTTTGCAGCTTCTCCACAGACATGCAGCAGCAGCAGCAGCAGCAGCGCGCAGACTCCGTTTCACTTCCAGGTGCAGCGCGCGGCGGTCCAGTCACATTTCAACACGAACTGCTTTCGGCCTCATAAATGCGCATGCGCACTGGAGCCGACCCCTCCGGTTTCTCCGTGCAGTGCCACGTTAGTAGCGGTAGACACAAAATACCAGCTACTCTCCCGACCCGAAACAGGGAAGAAAAAAAAAAACAAAAATCACAAAAAAAAAAAAAAAAAAAAAAAAAAAAAAAAAAAAAAAAAAAAAAAAAAAAAAAAAAAAAAAAGAAACCACCAGAAACTCACGCCGACTTCTCTTAGCCGAACCGCCGCCGAACACCGACTCCGCTGCTCCCGTTGTTCAAACCAAGCGACCCACGACGATGTTGAAGTTTTTGCTCTTGTGCTCACTGGCGGCGGCCAGCACCAGGGCTCAGATCGACGAGGAGGAGGATGTCCTGGTGCTGAAGAAAAGTAACTTCGACGCGGCTCTCCAGTCGCACCCCAACATCCTGGTGGAATTCTGTAAGTAGCACCGGCGGCGATTACAACATGAACAAGAAGCCTCCCCGGCTAGCTGCCCCTCACCGGTCTCGGTGCTAGCTAGCTAACTTGAGCCCGTTAGCATTAAACTTTGACACTTGTGTCAAGTTGCCGCTGGTAGCAGCTAATGTACCGGTGCTGGGCTCAGCTTCACGACCAGGAGCGACTCCAGTTCAGCTGTAGTTTAACTGTAATTTTAAAAATAAAAACAGGAACTGTCTCGACTTTGTTTATGAGACTAGAACTAGCTAGCCGGGGGTGTATTCTGTGCAAACTGAACGCAGGGACCCCAACTTGTTTTACTCGCCTGTAGTCCTGCTGTAAGTTAGCTGACAGAACTTGGCTAAATCAGCTGTGGGTTAGCTTTAATTTCTGAGAAAAACAAACCAAACTGTGTTTATTAGACTTAAACTAGCTAGCTGGGAGTGTGTTATATGCAAACTCAGCGCAGGGACCCCAACTTGTTTTAATAGTCTGTGTAGCTGCAGTCATGCAGTAGGTTAGCTAGCAGAACTTGGCTAATCCAGCTGGAGCTTAACTGTAAAACAAAACAGTCTGGACTTGACTAAAACTAGCTAGCTGGGGGTCTATGCTGTGTGCAGACTGAACGCGGGGAGCCCCAGCTAGTTCCAGCTGCATTTGAGTTGGCTAACAAAACTTAGCTAGTGCTGCATTTGGACTAAACTAGCATTCTGGTCGTGCCCTCCTATCTGCACTGTAAACACTGTGAGTGAGTGGAGAGTGAATCTCCTGTGAAGTTTCGATATGCTGCTGTGGTTTCACGCTCTAACTTTCAGTTTCCTGCGCCTCCTTTAGGCTGAGCTAATCCTCCCCTAATAACCGGGATGAGTGTTATTAGCCGGGCCACCTCTCCGCAGCCTGCTGCAGGCCCATCCCGCCTCACTTTTTTTTTGTCAGATTGTTGACCTGCTCCATGTGTGTGTGACAAACGCGTGGACCAGTCAGAGGTGTCCGCGGTGGGAGCCTCTCTCCAATGATGTGAGGATGGGAGGGAGGACGGCTTTGTTTGCCCACGTAGTCCTTCGGGCTGGGCGGGATCTGAGCGGGGATGTGGAGCTAGGTTGACGTGTACTTTTGCAAAAGTTCACCAGTGCGTGCGTTTGTAGTGACCGGGACAAGGAAGTTTTGTTCTTAGCCAAGAGGTGAAGCTGGTGCAATGTGTAAATGACGTGTCATTATCTGATTACACGTGTAGGAGTTGGTGTTTGGACGTGTTTTTTTAATTTACAGTAGAGGAAAGCAGCTGTACAGTTCACCTACTTTATCACTTCATTTCACAGGGATGTTTTCTTTACTTTGCTGCATTTACCTGAATTTAAAAGTGACTTCTTTGCACAGTGGATGATATAACAAGCTCCAACTCAGTTCATGGAAATGAGCCTTAATCGCCTTTTTCTGTGCAACAGTTCAGATTTAAAAGCCCCGGCAGTTGGTGATTTTTCTGACAAACCTCCTCGCGTTGTTTCAAATCGATTCCTCGTATTTATCTGCTGTCCGTGTATAAAACAGGATATAAAGCGGTTCAAACTAGGTCGACCTGCAGCGGCTACAATCGTAACACGACGCTGGTGCTTTACTATTAATAATGTAATGATGACACACGTATTAATACATCAGTCAGAGGCACCAAACCGGCACGTCTGTGTTCTTCTAACTACATTTCGCTGCTTTTTTTTTTAACTAAAGAACAATTTTTTTTCCTGCTTGACTTTCACTTGTAATTGAGTATTTTGACATTGTTGTTTTAGATCAGATTATCTTTGTTATGTAGATTATATTCCTGCTCCTTAACATGATTCCCCTGAAGTTCAGACAGAGCGCTGCACTGTGTAAAGTGTTGGTGGAGTACAAGTCAGGATTAGTAAAGATCAAACAGTAATGACACTCATTTACTCAGTCCTTACTGCTGGTCAGCGGTCCAGAAAGTGTCTGAGGCGCTTTAAATATCACATTTCTTTATTCACACGTGGATAAACTAACAGGCTCCAACTCGAGGGCGTCTTTATCAGGGTGTAGGTCGCCACGAGTCCAAGGTACTACACCCTGATAAAGACGTCTGTGAGTTGAATCACGCTGGTTTATCGATGCAATAATAAAGATTTTTTTATGCGTATAATATACAGAATTGATGACAGACTTACAGTTATTTTTGTCTAAAAAGTAAAATCAAATGCGACTGTGTACACTGATTTAGAAACGTTTATCCAGGTACTGACTGAACGTCTCCATCTTTTCGGCGACTCTTCAGATTTGCCGTAACGTTTGGTTGTCGTACTTGAACAACAACACAAACCTCCCTGTATTTTTTTTCTTCTTGCAGACGCCCCATGGTGTGGCCACTGCAAGGCTCTGGCTCCGGAGTACGCCAGGGCCGCCGGCATGCTGAAGAGCGAGGGTTCAGAAATCCGTCTGGGTAAAGTGGACGCCACGGAGGAGACCGAGCTGGCCCAGGAGTACGGCGTCCGAGGGTACCCCACCATCAAGTTCTTCAAGGGCGGAGATAAGGAGTCTCCCAAAGAGTACTCTGGTGAGTGTCCATGTGCTTTTTTTAAACTGTACAGACTTCGGTTTGAAAGACGGCGTTCTTGATAATTCCCAGCAGGAGGCGGCTCCTCTGGTTGCAACAAGAAGTTTGACTGTAGAGAAGCCTGTGAGAAAACGAGCAGACGTCTTCACCTCAGCAAACATTTCCCTGATAAGTTTATGGTCTAAATCGCTAGTTTCAGGTTTCCTCCAGCGCAGCGTGACGTTCATTTAGTAAATTAAGGATCCGTATAAAGTAGACGATGAAGCCGGACACGTTACATCCCTGAGCTTCGGTAAGCTCCACCCCTCGCTCGAGCAAAAAGGTGACGTGGAAATTTCAGAACCACATCTGTAGTCCAGGTACCGATGGGTGATGACGCAGTAGCTACGTCTGTGTGGAAGGTCTGAGCAGTTAATCAGAATATAATTAAGATCACAACATGACCAATATCCAGGTTGTTGGAGCTGCAGTTCTTGGGATAAATAAATCTTTGTGGTGCTGCAGAGATCTTCCATATTCTCCAGATGTAAGACGTTAAAAATAAAAATCAGATTTATGTATTTGTCAGTGGAACATAAATGTTTTTTCATTCAGCCTTGAACGCACTTGTTTTTTCGTTATCCTCCAAGATGACACATCACTTTCTGTGTTGTTAATTCAGTTGTTTGCTTGTTTTTAAATACACGTAGTGTCTTTGTCATCACCTTTTTTGACTTTTCTCCATCGTGTGCAGCTACTCCCAACAGTTTATGAGCATTTGCTTGCTCCCGTCACATTTTTTTCTAATCCAATCTGGATCATTTTACACGATCCTGCACCTCGTATGCAAACAGCACAGCCGTGGCTGCAAGTTGAGAGAAATTTTTAGCACCATATAATTATAAACAGTGAATTTCTTTGATAAATTATTTTACAAAAAAATTTAAAAACCTGCAGTAAACATCCACAACATTGTTTTCTAAGTGCCCACAGTTGACACCAATATTGGGAGAAATGTTGGCCCTGCATGCTTTAGATAATTTAGTTTTTAATTTTGCTTGTGCAGTCCGGCTGAAAGTCCCTGAATCTGTTGTCACATGACCGCTGAAGCATTGATGACTTCACGGTTGCTGAATTTTTATTTTCAGCAGGATCTGATCAGACAAAACGCTGCAGATGAATTTTCTAAATCATAAAAAATCTCAAGCTCAGAAGTTTCCCAACTGATCAGGACATCACAGACGAGTTCAAAGACTAAATCTGACCATTCATCCTGTTTTTATGGTTTCTGTCTTTGATAAATGGTTTAATATTTGCATTTTTTTTAAAAAGACAACATGCCTTTTAAACCTGTTGTGATGGTTTTGTTGTTGTTCACCACAACCACAGATTTTATTGTTAAAAGCCCATTTTTAAACATGTACGGTGTCCTTGTTGCCACCGTGGGACTTTTCTCTCCCCGGTGCAACTCAATGAGCTGGATTTTTTTTACCCCCTCATGATGTAATCTTGAGTAACTGCTGCTACGACAAAGTGGGTGAACATTACTCCCAAAAAATACTGTCATGGAATGCACCTCAAGTGGCAAAAAGCAGATCAGGCCTCCAAGTCCAGGCCCAGATCGAGTTTCTCCAGCCCGGTAACCTGATCTGCACGGCAGCATGAACGGCAAGTCGGCCATTCAGCTTCCAGCAGCATGCGTGAGGCACAGAGTGGGCTGGTCCTGTGCTGCACGTTCCCCCCATGCCGACTGGAGCCGGCCAGGGTTATGTGCACTTCCTCACGTCGCCTCAGCTCTGCTGGCTCAGGCTGGGAAGTGCTGTTGTGGAAATCACTGCTCTGTCTTGAAATCTTGGAGGCGCAGCTGAAGGCGCTGCAGCGGGACGACGCGCTGCACTTGGTCAGCACGTGTTGCTGCCGGGTTGCATCAGCGGGTCGCTCTGACAGCCACGTCTGTCTGTTTTCAGTCCAGTTTAGTCGCGCCTCAAACTAAACACGCTTCTCAACAACCTCACAAAGTCGACGGCGTGCTTGGATTCGAAAAGAAACGAGCGTCAGTTAAAGTTGTGTGTGTGTGAGAGGTTTCAGAAGATGAAGACGTAGTGTTTTTTTATTTTCAATTTCAACAGCACTTAACCTTCCACCACAGTGAATTCATGAAGGGTGTCTGTGTGACTGAACAGCTTCACTTTAACCACAGCACAGCCTGAGAAAATCAATCATCTGCTGCCCTCAGGCACGACAGAATCCATCTATCTGAGCCAACGCGGTGTCACTTTGGCTCTGCTTAAATGCCAAACAAACAAAAAAAAGTCCTACTTTTGATTGCATGGGCTGAATCTTCCTGATTTCCGCATGCCGTCCGCGCGACACGCTGAGATACTCAAGTTATTGTGTTCTGTTGTGCTGCAGCTGGCAGGCAGGCGGATGACATCGTCAGCTGGCTGAAGAAGCGCACTGGGCCCGCCGTCGCAACCCTGAACGAGGTCACCGAGGCCGAGTCGCTGATCGCCGACAATGAAGTCGCAGTCATCGGATTCTTTAAGGTGCGATCTCGATCCTCTCCAGGTCTCGACAGAATGTGTCGTCTCAGGTTGCAGAGCCTCCGGTTTGTCTGTTTCGATACTCTCCTGTCTCAAGCGCAGGTTTTTGTGGCTTTCAGAGCATCAAAAGAGTAAAAAAACGGCAGTTTAAATATCTACAAACCTCATCTCACCATCTCACAGCTGTCTGATTTATTATTTTTTCTATGCACATGTATGTTATTAAGTAAAACTTTTTGAATGAAGGTGGCGTCATGTTTGAAGAGCCATCACCTGAGGAATAATAAAGGTAGAGTCCTAAACTTTTGCAGCCTGATTCATACGTACATGTCTTCTTGCACCTGGCTTCGATACAACAGAATAGAACAAGACAAACTAGTTATATTATGGTGCACATTTGGTCAAAACATGTCCGTTTTTTTAGATTTTTTTCCCTGTGGTTGGCACCAACAGGAGCTTTAAAGTCAGAAGCATACTTAACGAGAAAATATTGAAATGACATTTTGTGCATTCATTGTTTTCCAACCCACAGCGCTTCAAATAGTTTTGAGGGTCGTACCAATAAAGACCAGATGTACGTATCAATGAAGCTGCAAAATTTTAGGACTCAAGTTACATTACTTGTCAAATTATGGCTCTTCAAACATTGCTGCACAGATTGGCACAAAGAAAATGACGCTAAACTCAACATGACCCCACCTTCTTTAAGGATTTTTAACTACTGTCGCCTAACTACGGTCAAGTCAATCGATATTCACCACTTTAAAAAAATAATAAAAATCTGTCAAATGGAAAATGGCCAGACATAATGACCCAAAAGTAAGCTTCAGTCATTAAGAATGGCTTGCACGGTGCGTTACCTCTAAGGAAGGTTTTTGCCTCTGCAGGACGCCAGCTCCGAGGGCGCCAAGGCCTACCAGAAGGCAGCTGAAGCCGTGGACGACATTCCCTTCGCCATGACCGCCAGCGACGCTGTTTACTCCAAGTTCGAAGTGTCCAAGGACGGCGTTGTCCTCTTCAAGAAGGTGACTTGCAGTTTGTTCCTGCGGTGTTCTGTTGCATGTGTGTGCAGAAATGATGTGGTTCCCAAACAGGCGGTTATTTTAAATGAGTACTCGCAGTCCGAAGTGTAACACACGTTTACAGTGGAGCTGCTGAAGACTCCCCAGGGTTTGGGATCCACACCTCGGTAATTTGATGCCGCCGACCTAGCGGTATCCGCTCCCCGTTGCTAATCTCGGCCCGTCTGAGGTGCTCTCAGCGTTTAAGACGTGCGCCATCCTTCGGGCCCGTTGCACGGCCCCGCCGGTGATCGACCCGAGTGTGTTAAACTGGGCGACGAGTGATTAAAGAGCCGTCCGTCCTTCAGGGAGCTCCCGTCGGCTAAAAGCAGACGATGAGCTAATGGCAGCGGAGGGCCTTCGTCTGCTTCAGTCTGGCAGTTAATTGAAATTCACACAAGTGCAGAGGTGATGCTCGTGGTGCCGGTTATACAAGTTATGAGCAAACTGGGTCAGAGATCAGGTAGCCTATTGGCAAAACGGCATCTTAGCTGAAGTGAGGATTTGTCAAATTGGGTCGAGGTCCGGAGCGTCTGTCAATAAGAGGGTTCTGATGAACCTGGCCCTTCGACTTGAGAAATATGTGTCACCATGTTTCATTATGCTCAGTGCAAACACAGCCTGCAGAATGAGAAATATTTACACTTCTGCAAGTGAAATGCAGATTTCTTTGATTTTTGACAGAATCTTTTTGTTGCATAAAGTATTTTTACAATTTTAAGCTTAGATTTTGTAATTTTGTTTTGCTCACGATGCGTTCAAGGACAATCAGAAAGCCAAAAAATCCCACAACCCCTTTCGATTTTTGCAGCATCTGGCTAAATTGTCCATCTGATGGCAGGATTTACCGTCCTGCGTGCATATATTTCATTAAAACCCGTGACTGTTTTGAGGGAACACCTTTGCTTGGCGTTGCCTGAGATGATTGCAACAGTTATAAAATTAACAAATGAACCAGAGTTCGTTATTTTTTCTCCTACAGCAGAATGATAATGAGGTGCACCCAGACTAAATCCTGAAGGCTGACAGCAGCTAATATCCAGTTATAATCAAACCTAAAGTCTCTCCTATTTGCTTTTGTTTGCTCCCGATGAGATGCTAAAGTATCGCCTCTCGTCGTGTAAGCTTTGCCGTTTACAGCCGTGTTTTTGATGCTTTTGTTCTTTTAAAGGTTTCCACAGTTGAAATGTTCCCAGAAACGTGTATGAAAAGAGTTTTAAAAAACAGAAATGCAGCGACATCAGATCCTCTTGTGTGTTTAATCCCAGGCAGCACACACTGCGAGTCTTTTAAGATACCATCTATGTACGTATATATGCAGATCACTTTCATATACAGTCTGTGCAGTCGTTTCTCTGAGCGCTGGCGGGGGACCAGTAATGAAGATGATAATTTTATGCAGCCCTGATCGCTGCAGCTCTTCGAGGGCCGAGAGCCGAAACGCACTGAAATATTCAGAGTGCCGGATGATCGCGTTTCCTTTCCGGCTCTTGCGGCGATGGCTCGGTCCTCCTGCCGCCATTGTCCGGCCTCTGATTGGTGCCGGTAACTTTACCCCGATCAAAACACCGCCGTTAAGCAAACCTTCTCAAAGCAAAGGGCTCAGTCTTAATAAACAGCTGCGGGTCTGTCACTTGTTTATTGCAGCGGGTGTTTGGAGCTTAAGTTTCAGAGGCCTGAAGGCTGGCGGGACGCCACCGGCCAAATGTCCCCTCTCCTATTGTGTGCCAGTAAAGGCTGCTTGGCACAGCTGCTGTTCTTGTGTTTGGTCCACGGGGGGATTTTGAAGTGGTTTGTTCGGTAAATCTATGTTTGGTGTTCACAGGCAGACTAGATGCGACACCAGGTGTGTGGATAAAATGTGAATCTAAATGTTTCCGTGCAAATGTTCCCTCTGCAGTTCGATGAAGGACGCAACACCTTCGACGGGGAGCTGACCAAAGAGAAACTCCTGGCTTTTGTCAAGGCCAACCAGCTGCCTCTGGTCATCGAGTTCACAGAGCAGGTAATTAGGGACCGCTGGCGCCTCCTCTTCTTTACACTCTACAGACAATAAGCAGAACAGATCCAGCTGTGGTTCCCCTCACCTCAAACTTCTGTTTTTCTGCAGACCGCCCCGAAAATCTTCGGCGGCGACATCAAGTCCCACATCCTCATGTTCCTGCCCAAAGCTGCCTCAGACTTCCAGGACAAAATGGACCAGTTTAAGAAAGCCGCAGAAGGATTCAAGGGTCAGGTAGGTGGACAGTCCTGATTCAGAGTAATGTGCATTTTAGTTGACATGATACACAACCTAATCTATTCATAGTAACTGGTAAGGTAGAGGAGGAGTTGTTGATTTGCCGCAGGTGAGGCTTCTCACTGTTTGAGGTGGAGTTACAGGTGTGTTTGCTGACCTTAAAACGAACTTAAAACAAACGCACCTCACTGCTTTCTGACCGCTAACCGGGTTCATGAACTCTGCAGCATCAAGTTTGTAAAAAGGGCATCTGTTCGGTTTAGCTAGCTGCCTGAGACTCATGCTAATGCTAAGCTAACACAGTGTCTGTCAGCAGAGACGCTGCTAACATTCAGGAGCAGCAGGACTTCCAACAGCACAACGATCTGATTTAAGAAGTGGCAGTAAATACCAACGACTAATAAAGCTGCTACGACAGTATTTGTGCACATCTGCTTCAGCGGACCGACTGAAAGACTCCATCGTGTAGATTAGCTATAATAAAAAAACTAAATCAACACTGACCCCTTCTGTCTCCCCGTCCAGATCCTCTTCATTTTCATCGACAGCGACGTCGACGACAACCAGCGCATCCTGGAGTTCTTCGGCCTGAAGAAGGAGGAGTGCCCCGCCATCCGCCTCATCACCCTGGAGGACGAGATGACCAAGTACAAGCCAGAGAGCGACGCCATCACCGCCGAGAGCATCACCAAGTTCTGCACACTGTTCACTGAGGGCAAACTAAAGGTGAGAGACGGGAAGTGACTGCTTATGGCAGCCGGGTCACACCATATATGTAGACTTGGTGTTTATGGTTGTTGTTAAATCTGGACAGTCACATTGTTTGTACACATGCTGAGTGCAAATGTTTTTCTTGAATGCCACAAGCAATTACAGGCCTAATCCTGTGAATGCTGTAGTTTGTCTGCAGACACTTGAGAACGTGCTGTTGATAAAAACAGAACTGTGAATTTAGCGATGCGATCTTATCCATGTTTATTTTCTTCTGCTTCCCACAGCCCCACCTCATGAGCCAGGACATCCCAGACGACTGGGACAAAAGCCCCGTCAAGGTTTTGGTGGGCAAAAACTTCGAGGACGTTGCCTTCGATTCCTCAAAGAACGTATTTGTGGAATTCTGTAAGTGCCCTTTCCTTTCTTGTTGCCTTTAGGTTTTATTTCTGTTGGAATCGGTATACATTTCCGTCGTGTTGGGTTTAATGTTTTGCGGTCAGGTTCTGCTGCTCATAGGTGAGAAACCTGGCAAAGCTTCCAGCTGCAGAGTCTGAAACTTAAATCTTGCCCCTTCCTGACTTGGCTCGCGCTAAGCCCTTTGCAAATATCTACGAGCTGATGCTCAAGGCTCACCCGCTCGGCCCTCCTGCAAATTAATTTGCTACCAGACACTGATGCTAAAAAAGTCCAGTTAAAAATAGCAGCAGGATTACTCTTAGAGCGATCCTCGTCCAAATTTGCACTATTTTTGGAGGAATTTTCCATCTCTGGCTGTTTAAACGCAGCGGGGAAGGCCCGTATTCCCTGACAGGTGAAGCGGGGGAGTGTCGTAGGCGAGGCCGCGAAGCCGAAGCTGCACGTGACAGACTCGGAGTGTGTTTGCTCGCTTCCAGCTGTTTAATGTGTTGGGAATTTTAAACCTGGATGTAATTTAATGACTTTAAATGAGAAACAGTTTACAGACGGCACATCGCATTAAAGCTGCACTTCACGTTGCTTTTCTTTTTACCTCCAGTACGTGCTGCAGCTGCCCTCACACACTGTTTCCTGCAGCGTGCGTTCAACTAGGACGGATTACGTCATCGTAATAGTGCACCTTGAACTTTGATCATCTGTTTGTGCACTGTTGGCAGCTCAGGCTTGTTTATGACCCCATGATGTATATAACTACGCAAGATTGTGGGTCAGATTGGCCAGAAATGGAATAAAAGAGTAAAAATAAATCGTACTAATTACATGATTATGCTAACAAGTATTGCTCGTGACATGATATCGCACATATATCTGAAACTTTCTGATCGAGAGCGAGTGCCATTGCCAGTGTGTTCTATACTAAGTCACACCAAATTTCTCTTTTTTGTTGTATATCAGATAAGATATTAATAAATAAATATATTAGCCCATAAGGCAGTATTGCGTTGTCCAGGCAACGGTATTGTGAGGGTTTAGCGACCAACGGCCACCATGACAAAGACCAGCGAGAGCTCCCAGTGGATACCACTTTAGTTGTGGTTGAAAATGGCTCCAACCAGGACACAGAATAATGTCTACTGTTTGTTGTAATGATTCATCAGTGAATATTTGACGACGCCGCTGCAGCAGTTTAACATTTGCGTCCCTGTTTCCAGACGCGCCGTGGTGTGGACACTGCAAACAGCTGGCCCCCATCTGGGACAAGCTGGGAGAGAAGTACAAGGACAGCGCCGACACCATCGTGGCCAAGATGGACTCCACGGCCAACGAGATCGAGGCAGTCAAGGTCCACAGCTTCCCAACCCTCAAGTTCTTCCCTGCAGGAGACGAACACAAGGTGAGCCCATCGCCTGTTCACGTCCTGTATGCTTCATTGTCCTGCAGAAACCAGCGTCGTCTGATGGCTCCTCAGGAAAAGTCTCTGTTTGTGTCGACTGATCCACAATCTGCCCTCGTCGTTAACACCCTCGCTGGTCTTCTGATTCATTATGTGCCGGTGCAGTTGTGAGTTACAGTGATCTGGGAGGTTATTTAGAACCACAATTATTGCCATAGGGGCTTCCCTGGTGTTATTCATGCCTCTTGATTTAGCAGCATTGGCCATGTGCAGAAACCTGAGTCTCTTGCCCTTGTAGGTTTCTACAATATTGTGTTTGTGTTTGTGTTTGGTTCTTATAGATTCCTGCTCTATGATTTCACTTGCCTGCGTCCTGCAGCTGCCTCCCTCCTTAGCACCCCTTTACTCGTCAGGCGTCCCTCTTGCCGGCCGACGCTTCAGCAATTTTAAACGTATACCGGGGTCACGGTGTAGTGACTGAGTGGATTAGCCTGTGACCCCGCTTAGACGAAGCATTCAGAGGACCCAGGAGGCAGCAGCCATTAGTGGCAGGTCGTCAGAGCCAGATTAAGGAACTAAAAATTAAATTGGTTGCTTTGCAGTTGACCTCTGATTGTCCTTTTTGCACGTGAACTTATTTTAGCAGCCATCCCCTTGGCTTTCTGCTTTTGCTGTGTCACCGCTTTTAGATCGCTTCTCGAAAACATTCTGGCAGCGTTTGCGAGTGCCAGAGTTCACTGGCTCCATTTAAAATGACACCGGACACAGGTGTTTGAGGCTTAGCAGTGTTTTTGGTTTTGAGCATTGAAGCACATGAATCCAGGTTTGCATTGTGAAGGTTTCTGGTGCACGTTTATCTGAAATGACGTCTCGCCGACAGGTGATCGACTACAATGGGGAGAGAACGCTGGAGGGCTTCATCAAGTTCCTGGAGAGCGGTGGCAAGGACGGCGGCGCTCCCGCAGGAGATGAGGATGAACTGGACCCAGAGGTGAGAGCATCTCAGACTGATTCAGGCATTCACGGCAGCAAAGCTGTAGCCTCATGAGAGGACACGTTTAAGTAGAAATCTGGTCTCGTTTATGGCCAAGATCTGGTCCGAAAGTTGCTTGCAGGCTCGTCATGGCCACTCCAGGAATATCACACGTTTGATATTTTTAATGATTATAATTATACCCGGACGAGTGGACGAAGGGGAAAGCAGTGCTCACCAATGTAGGACTTGAAGCTACAGATATTAAAACTCATTATTGGTGTTGGAGCAAGTCGTTGCACCGTAGTCTCCATTTTGTTTCCATCGGTTTCCCCATGAGGTCACATGAGCAGTGCACTGCTCCGAGTAATGCGTTGCCAAGTCTTCTAGTTTGTGAATATATAAAGTTTTTCTTTGTGTTGGATGCAAACTGGTTTTAAAACTTCTGTAGTTCGAGCTCGGCGTAAAGACACTGAGCTGTTACTCAGATATCATCTTAAAGTCTGGTGAAACTTAGTTTTTTACTTGACCATACGGACATGTGGTCTCCTTGTCAAACCCGTTTTTGGGGTTAAATCTTACTAAAACTAGAAGCGACCACATCATATGTCACACATCCTCCTTCTAAAACCCTGCTGCTTTTTAAAGGCATATCTGGCATCATGTCTGAAGCTGCTCAAAATAGAACCACGCGACCGACTCTCGTCAGGATTTTAGGTTGCAACCTTAGAACTGACCCACTTGGATTTCTTTTTCTTTTTTTTTATTCCAAAGGTGGGGAGAGATGCGGCTTCCATTAGGACACATTATCGGCAAATACGATCATTTTTATGCTGATGATACCTGGATTTACCTCCCATTAACCTTCTGAACCCATTTAAACCTTTTTGGCCACAGGGAGTAAATTATGCCAAGAACAGGACAAATAAAATCCTATTCTTCCCTCTCTTAATATTATATTAGGGTTCAAGCAATGAAAGGGCAATGAACCTGTTGGAACCCTTCAACAAATGCATCTCAGACGGGCCTAAACATGCTCAAAAACACAACAAAATTTGCATCCAAACTGGCAAAAAAATTTGATATTTTGGGGGACTTGGGCATGTGAGTGGCAAAATGGCTCCATAGCGCCCCCTCGGAGTACCGCTAGACGTAGAAGTATGTTTAGACCTACGAAATCTGGTAGACATGTATCATTTCAGGACGCACAAAAAACCCCAACGAACCCATCCTGTAAACCCAACAGGAAGTCCGCCATTTTGAAGAAATGGTGAGATTTTGGTTGATTTTTGCTAATTTTCAGGCATTGTCTCCCCCTAGGGGCAAAGTGTCACAAACCTCAAACTTGGCCAGTATGCGTACAACCGGACTCTGTAAACAAAAGTTACCAAAACACGCCGCCAAAATCTAAGGGGGGGGGAATGGTGGCCCCTGGAATTTCGACAGTTCGCCATAAAACAGGAAGCGCCGTGTAACTGGCCCGCATGCGCTCCGATCTGCCTGAAACTTTCCACGTTTGATCGGCGTCACGGCCGGAGCATGTTTCCGCCCCGACGGTCGTACGGCGAGGACCCGTCCGTCCAGTTGTTATAATTTGCATTATGTGGTTGTTGCTAGTTGTGCAATGGTTTCCTCTCATTGGTGATAACGATGACCTGGACGCTCAAAGTGTTCAACTTATTATTTAAACATTTTTCGAAGCAGGTATTGTATGAGGTCTCAGGATTGAAATAACCATTTGAACATCAGTCAGCATCAGTATTTTGACAGATGTTACGATACAGGTCATGATTTTTATTGTGACTGACAGAAAAACGCTCGGTTGCTTAATTGGTGGTATGTTGTGACACTTTTTACTTTATTTTAAGCAAACAAAGCATCTCCTGTGATTTAGATTAAGTGTTGAGCTCGACTACTTGTAGAAAACACGGCAGAAAATAAAAAAGCCACCTCCCTAATGTTGCTGTAAAACGTTTGGATGGAGATGCAGAGATGCGCCCCAGGTCCTCCTGAGGTTCTGCTGCACCCATCAGCTCAGGGGGATCCTCCACCAGCGCCTTCTACTCCACTACTGCCGCCACGCCCACTTCTCAGAAGTCTAATTACGGCGCTCTAATGCACCCTGCAGCTGTCGTAGCTGTTTACGAGGCTTTGCCCAGAGACCCGAGCCTCTGGATGAAAGCGGCACGTGCGGCGCTGCTAGACGTTACTAGACATGAAGGAATCGCCGTCTAAGACCAAGATGTCATCCATACGCTGAGCCGCCGCCGCCGCGTTGATTCCACATTCCTCCAGATGATGAAGGATTTGCTCACAGGCTGTTTTTAGCCGTTTACCACAACTTGGTGATAATTTTAGACTTTTAACACAGTTTTTATAACCTAAACCTTAAAATAATACTTTCACCTTTACATCCCACCAAAATATCCACATGTTGTTGTTTATGTTGATGAAAGCATCCAGACACGTAGAAATACAGGTGACTTCTCATGTTTTATCAATAACACATGTTGAGTTTTTCTGTTGATCATAAAACAGACGCGTTCTGAGCAGACTGCATCTTGTCAGGCTGCGGTCGACAATCACTGATGTCACTAAAACAAAGAGAAAAGAAATAGACTTTTTATCTGGCAGCAGGAGGAGCAGACCACCTCTAAACACCCTCCTATTGAGCAGTTTCCTCCAATCAGCTGTGATCGGCTCTGTAAGCTGTAAACGGCGTCGCCTGAATGTGAACATCAGCGTCTTGCTGAGATTTCAGAGCGGGCCAGAGTGACAACAAACCCCACCGGGTGTTTTTATAGCAGCGGGCACCAAACTATCATCTGTTGTCGGGTTTGAAACGCATGTTGCCGAGCGGCCTCCTGATCGGACGTCAGCCAGAAAGTCATAGCATCCTTCATAAACAAACAGCAGCGGTCCACAACTTGGCCGACGTCTGCTGTTTTCTGACCGACGTGTGGACACGTAGCGGGACCGAGAGCTACCCAACGTGTCCTGTGTGTTTATACTCGAATGCTTTTTAAACTTGAGAGGATGTTTGTCCTGCTGTGAAGCTGAATTCACATTTTTAGAGATTTTTTTTTTTTTTACTAGGTTGTGCGTCTTTATTTGTGGGTTGTAGCAACGTTGACACTTTCTGTCCTGTGAACCAGAGTTTAATGAAAACTTTTCGATGTTTTCATGTTGGTGTAAAGCAACTCGATGAAGTTCATTAAATAAGCCGCAAATACTCACTTTTTATGGTTGTTTGTAATTCGTTTAGACCAATAGGGCAGAGCACTGTGGCTCACTTAGTTACCATGCATGTTTTATTTTTAATTTTTATTTCCCCGGGATCGAGCAGGTATGATTTCACCCATTTGTTTTCTGATCGACTAACCACCTCCTCTGCTCGCCAGGATTTGGACGATATCGATGACGACTCTGACGGCGAGGACGACGGGGTCGACGATCACGACGAGTTGTAAGCGCCGGCGGAGGAGCGAAAAGGAGAGAGAGGAGACGAGTCCCGCCCCAAACCCTTTCCAACCAGTCACCGTCACCACCTTCACTTCCTCGTGGACCTTCCCTGTCCTGTGAACATTAATAACTCCCCTTTGAAACTGCCTCTCGGTCAGTCAGTCAGTCAGTGAGCCGGCCTGGTAGTCAGTCAGTCAGTCAGTCCATCAGCGGCGTGGCGGGGCCTTTTCGTTCGCCGGCCACACCTCCAACCTCGCAACTTCTGGCCAGACTGGTGTCGTCCCACCTGGGGGGACTGTATGGAACAGCCCTGGCACCACCTCTATGGGAGACCTCAATGCCTTGTCTACAAAGCTCCACATCAGCGGTTTGCCTTGTATAGTTTAAAACCAAATGAAAAGAAAAAACGGCAATTCAAGAAAAAGTCTGCTCCCCTCCTCGTTCTGTTGTCCAGTGTGGGTTTGAGCTACATGAGTGTTGTATCATGTGTTAGTAGGTATCGGGGGGGCTGCCGGTGTTCTCCTCCCTCCAGAGGACCAGAGTTTGTTGGCTTTGTGAGGACTGATCTCTCAGGGGACAAGGGGCCATCCTATAGATGTGTTGTTATTGTTTTTTTGCATTGTCTTCACTAAAATATACCCCACAGTGTGTCCGGTGTAGCACAAACAGCCCCCCATCCCCCTCCACCTGTAGCCGAGACCAGTTATCTTCTTTCTTTACCGGTTGGGGGGTGGACAGTGTATTTTCATTTCTATATTCCCAAATATTTCGCTTCCGTCTCCTCTTTTTATTTTCAGCACGGCTACTGACTATTTTCTAAAAAAAAAAAAAATGGAACAAAGGTTAACTTTTTTTTTTTTTTTTTTTTCAGGAAAAATCTTATTTTAAAAAATTGCTTTCACTTTGAGTTTTTTTTTTTTTTTTTTTTTTTCAGGAAAAATCTTATTTTATTTAATTGCTTTCACTTTGAGGTTTTTTGTTTTTTTTTTTTAATTTAGGAACTTGTCATTTTTGTAATAATGTACCATTGTGCCCAGCTGTCGCCGGTTCGGCCCTGTTGGGGCGGGAGTCGCTCCCTCGGACTCGCTCTCAGACCCGGGACGGTTCTGATAGGTCGCACTGCATTCATGCCTAGTCAGAGATTTCATTGTGGTTACTAAAGCAGACAGAGATTCGTTTTCGGTTTACTGGGTCGGGTCGGTCTGAGAGAAGTTCTGTCTGAGTCGGGGAGGGAACAGTTGCACAGCCCCACCCCTCACCCATCCTGCATCCCCTTCGGCTCTACCCAGCGCCCCGGTTCTCCACACGGGCGTGTTTGCGTGGATGCATGAGCGCGTGAATGGTGTACAAATCGCTGAGTGAGTGTGCGGCGTGTTTGTTGCTTTGGCGGGGAGGAGGAGGAGGAGGAAGAGGAGGGCGGGGGGAGGCTTGAGTAGAGCAAGGTGGTGGGTTTGTCAGCCGAACAACGGTGGGGGGGGGGAACCTAACAAAGCATTCCATCATATCCAAAATCGATGTGGAAAAACGTGAAATGGTGGCCAATAAACAAAAAAATCTGAAAAGATACGAGTGTTCGGTTTTTGTTTCGAGTGCATCTACACATCATTACACACATGAACGTAAGGATGGCACTGAAATATTAGTTACGCAGATGTAAGGTTCTTAAAAAGTGACGTCTTTTCCTGAACACGGTTCCTCGACCTTGATGGAAAACGTCACGAGGACGAGGAAAGATGTGAACCAGAATTTGTGAGGATGAAGGAAAAGACGGCAGGAATTGTGGGACGGCGTTATCTCTTTTCATAAAGGATGGTTCAGTGTAGCCTCTGTTAAAGGAGATGGTATATTTCATTTGTGTCTGAAGCTAATTGATTTTAGAAAACTTGTAAACAGGGTTATGTCAATAGGTGGTCGGTCAAAACAAGTTAGATGCTATGAAAGGTTTCATTTTTACCTAAAATTCAGCACCTGGCTAATCCTCTAGTCCTATTTTCATCTGTACCAAAATAATTCTCTGGTGTAGTCACATTTAAATAATCATGAATGTAGCTTCTGTCTGAAATGGAGGAACACCAGTAATAGTTCAGACAAATCCTGTTGATCTGAGCGATTCGTTCTTGTTTTCTCAGTTTGTACTGTCGGCCTGTTTCTGTCGTTTAGGAGGTATTTGGTCATAAATCTAATTATTGAGCAAACCTAGTACCCACCGAGGGAAACACAATCACCTGTAGCAGATTTGTTTTAACCTAAAACCACAAATCTCAACTTTGATAGCAACAGAAGAAAAGTCAAAATGACCAGAGTCATTATGATTCATCATCCTAGCGCTTGACTTTTAATGTCAAACTACTGTACCGACAACTGTGCCGCTCTTCAACGAGATAAAGTTCCCTGTAAAAACCTCTTGGAAGTTTTCCCAAGGTCAGTTTAGTTTGGCTTTTTGGACAGAAATGTACAAAAATTAGTCTTTCATGCCAAACGTGACAACATTTCTACAAGGTAATGTCAATTAATTAAAGATATGTAAGGATTCACCCCATTTCAAAGATGTGACGGTACGATACAATCACAAACACACCGTCTCAACCGTAAGGCACGGCGGTGGCAGCATCATGATGTGTTGATTCTCGGCAGCAGCCCTTGCAAAGGTAGAAGGTAAAATGAATACAGCGAAGTCTAGAGAAATCCTGGAGGACAACCTGATGCAGTCGGTGAGAGAACTGAGACTTGGAGAAGGTTTGTTTTCTCGTAAGACCATGAGCCGCAGTAAACAGCCAAAGCTACATAGAGATGGTTTAAAGACAACAGGGTGGATGTTCTGGAGTGGACGAGTCAGAGGCCAGACTTTAGTCCAACCAAGACTTTGTAGCTTGATTTAAAAAGGGCTGTTCACTCACGATGTAACCTAATTAAAGTCTTCTTCTTTTTCGTAAGCACTTGTCAAAAAAATAAATCAACCGTGATTCAGTGTGATTGAAAAGCAACAAAATGAGGTTGAATCCTTCTATAGGTATCACAAAACAGACATTTTAAAGGAGCCTGGACCAAACAATGTCACATTACCGACAGAGGATGATGCAAAACGTAGTAATTTGGAACTGATCATGATTAATGCGGTGCATGACCATGATGACAGCAGCCTTTCCTGACTGCTTATGTCAGTGCACTTAATGATCAACAGCCTACACATGGCGGTTCACCCCTGCATGCCCCTGCGGTTGGCAACTACTCCCTCATAGCAGTAAACCACTTTTATCCTGCTGGTGTTTACTAGAAGCCTCCCGCCCCCTCCCTTCCTCTCTGGCAGCATGTCACCACTATCTTTAAGTGGACAGCATCTGGGTATGTGGGGGCGACAACAGAGCAGAGGTTTGCTGGCTGTCGTGTCTGGAGACGTGAGCTGCCTTTACTGGCTTGTGACAGGGCGGTGGGAGGGCTGCTCATCTTCCAAATCCAACCACCGCATCTGTGAGGTGTCCCTAAAATAGCCCCACGGAGAGTATAAAGAGGCTGCCGGGGAGGTTTGGTCTCCAGACGAACAGCTCCACTGTTGATGCACAGCAAGAGAGCCACACTGAGAAGGACTTTTTCTTGAGACTCGAAGGAAGTCAAACTTGGTCGTTGGATTTGAAAACCAGTTGAAGAAAATCTCCGAGATGAAGTACTACCAGTGCCCCGCACCCCAGACCAGACCAGACATGGGAGTCGACGCCTACCCCGAGGACTGCAGCGTCCCAGTCACCTGCAGGATCTCCGCTTCCCTGAAGCCGGTCCGGAGCGTCCACTTCCCCAACGACATCGTCTTCCAGGACTACGTTCGCCATGGCGAGCTGGAGAGGATAGGACGCTTCATCCGAGCCAGTAGAGTCAAACTGGACACCATTTACCACTCTGGTGAGAGCCGGCGAAACACCCACAAAACCTCCATCCCATGCCGTCAGGCATCTTTGCTTGATGCTAAAGTGTTTCTCGCCTCCTTTTCTGCACAGGCATGGCTGCCGTCCACGAGGCCGTCCTGTCGGGGAACCTGGAGTGTGTGAAGCTGCTGGTTCACTACGGGGCTGACATCCACCAGAGGGACGAGGAGGGATGGACTCCGCTGCACATGGCCTGCAGCGACAGCTTCCCACACATTGCACGGTGAGCATCCAGTCTTTTACTGGTTGCATGAAAATTTGAGCCACAAACACCAACTATAAGATCAGAACTAGAAAAGAAGCTGGCTTTTCAAAGCAATATCTAGGTCCCCTTTGCTGCTGATCATACCCCATCAAACAGGGCTCTAGCAGCAGAAGGCCTGATTGTGGGGAACTCTGAAGAATCTTTTCTGTTAAACACATTTTCTCCCAGTCTGAAGCAGCTGATGTTACACGTTTACACTCTCGCCAGCACATACCAGCACACACACAGAGCGACCTCACGGCTCTCCGACGTCACAGGCGAAAGAGAAGCTGCGTGATCTGCTGCATTCTTGCACCTCATTAACCTTCCTGACACTGAAGCACGGCAGAAACTCGCATTAGGTTTAGGGGCAACAAGAAGGGATGTGGTTCACTAAGTGGGGGGCTGTGCTGTGTTTGTTTCAGCTACCTGCTCTCGCTGGGCGCCGACCCCGAGCTGGAGAATGACTGCGGGGAGAAGCCGGCCGACCTCATCGAGCCGGACAACAAGGAGCTGCTGGAGATCTTCGGGCTGGCGGACAACGACTGAGAACGCCCGCCGCCTAAAGCACCAAGCTCATCTTGAATGCTGCTGCACAGTCGTCGGACTGCTCTGCAGGAACGTGCAGGAAAGGCCACATCAAGTCCAGGATCCTGACTTTGCGCTGTGCAGGTCAAGGACTGTGGATGTCTGGTGGACGGAGGACCGCCTTCTGAGGGAGTGTTTGATGGTCAGGGCTGGTTTCCTGTCAGCGCCTCGGATCTTCTTACACTGATGTGACCTGAGTGGTTGTATTTGGCTGGACTCATGGGGGCTTCTGGATGTTGTGAAACCTGAAGCTGTTGCTGCTGCTCGGCTAATTAGCACCTCTCACAGCTTTGTATGCTAAAATTAGCGAAAGCAAACAGGCGTGGGCTGACTGCCTTAATAGCAGATTTGTTCACCGTTTTAAATTCAGCTGCTAATCGTTGCCTTTTAATCATTTTGAGAGTTAATTGTATTTTTTTGTTTGTATATGATTTTTTTATACTTTTCTTTTAAAATAAAGTTAAATGAAGCCATTTTGTCTCACTTTGATTTCATTTATCAACTAAGTGCTGCAATTACCATTTAAAGGAACATCAACTGGAGCTCCTGCTTCAGCACAGATTTGACGAATTCTGCCAAAACTGAGTACATAGCACCAAGCAAACTCAGGTGTGTCCATTTTGTAAAAGTCTCGGCTGACGCATCACTAAGTTTTCCAAAATGTCCGTTTTCAAGGAGCAAAACCTGTGTTTGTGTGGACAAAAGGCAAAAGTGAAGAAAGAAGCCAGCGTACGTATGACGGAGAAGGAACCTGTGAGCAAGGTTAAGGGTGGCCATCTTGAAGAGAACATGGGGTCATTCCATGAAAAGTCTAAAGGCTATAGCAGCA